TGGAGTTGAGGTGATGACTCACAATATCAAAGGAAGAAGGGAAGTGGAATAAAAATTATGGGTGTATCTGGTTAGTTATGGAGACAGCGTGAAGGGTTACAGATTATACGATCCCATCACACAAAAAATAGTATCAGTAGAGACATCATTGTAAAGAAGTCTCAGGAAAAATTCTTCAAATGAATTGATGACATATCCAATTTCAGTGGGGGACCCAGGTGAAGAACAAGTCGAAGAGACAGACCTGACAGATGAGAGTACAAGTACCAAGTCAGTTTGTTCCAGTAGCGATTGTGAATATATTCCAGAAGAAATCTTTGAAAGTACATCAAACGATAATTCGCTACCTAGGAGTTCAGCAAGGCAAAAAAAATAAGTTTTTGAAGACTATATTACTTACCTGAGTACTTATGTATTTTTTTATTGTCTTTATTGTCATATCGTTGTCTATCACTTATATAATTTACAAACCAATTAAGGATATTCCTTCTAATGCCAAAATTGTTCAGTTCTGAGATCAATATATCATGATGTACAGTATCAAATGCTTTACACAAATCCAAAGAGGCAACATTTTTTATTGTTGTCAATTTCAGTTCAAATTTTTAAAATGACAACCCTTGCTTCTGCCTCTGTATCTGTAGACCTATGAAAACCATACTGATCACTACATAAAAGATTGTTTTCTAGATGTTTGGTTAATCTTTTATGCATCAATTGTTCAGAAATTTTGGAAAAAACGGATAATACCGAGATTGGGTGGTAGTTATAAGGACCAGTTTTTTTTGGCATTTTTATAAAAGGCAATTTTCATATTGTTATTTATGTATTATACCATTTTGGAAAGATTTCGAAAAAATAAAGAAAAATATTGGTGACATTTCAGTGTTGACTGCTTTAAAAATATTTATACTAATATCATCATATCCAGAAGCTTTTCTTGGATTCAAATATCCTATTATTTCTTCAATTCCAGGTAAACTTAATAGCCCAAAAAACATAGATGAGACACTTGAATGTTTTTATGTCACCTTGAAATAATTGGAATGGCAGAAGATAATTTTTTTCCACTGGCAAAAAAATTATCATTCATCATTTCACAAATTTCTGATAAATCATCAGTTTAATGATTATATTCAAAGTGATAATTTTTATATTTTTATTGTTGCACTGTATCTCATTGCATGAACCTTTGTTAGTATGCTTATCAGAAACTCATATTACTGATGATATTGCTCTTCATAAAATTAACATAAATGGATATGAGCTAGTACTTTGTAATTCATCCAGTAGACATACGGGTGGAGTTGCCATATATATCAAAAGAGGGTTGAAATTTGAACTAATTTTAAAAGATGTTATTTTCATGAATGTATCAGGATTGTTGTAAATAATACAGTATACATAATGTGTGTGGTGTACCTTTCTCCTGGAGCATCACATGCCGATTTTTTAGCATTCTTGGAAGAAAAACTAGAAGAAATAGTAAGTTGTGATTGTGATATTATGACAGTGGGTGATTTCAATCTAAATCTTAAGGGCACAGAGAAAACACTTACACCCGAAGAATCAAAAAACTAATTAAATTCATGGGACTGTATCAATTAGTGGACAATTATACCAGAATCACCAAGGGTTCATCTGCATCCATCGATTATTTCATAACAAATAAGTTGTTCAAATTTGAAGTATCTCATCTTCAAAGTGTTTCAGATCATTCTAATATTTTATTACCCTTAGGTAATGTCTTTCATACTAAATCAACTTCCACTAGTGTAAGGAGAGAATATAAATTTAATCCCAACTCTCCCTAATGAATACATTATGAAATAATGATTAATGAAACATCCAATATATTATTAGATGCTTGGACATATATAAAGCATTCAAAAGGAAGCATAACTTCAATAATTTCAAATTAAAAGTGTGGTTTACAGATGAAATCATGGCAGATCTAAAAAAACGCGAAATTCTCCATAAAAAAAGCAAAGGAGACCAAACTACAATGTGACTGAAATAAATATAATAGGTTCATTCCAACCTTGAGTCACCAACAGATTTCCAACAGTTTGTAAATCGTTGTCAATGCGCATGTCTGTTAAATATTGGTTTCTGATTAATTTGAAATTTCTGATTGGAACAGTTGATAGTTCAACTGAAGTTTGGCATGGAATTTCAACATATCCTTTAAAAGTAAATCTAATCATGTGTATTTCTGGAGAGTAAAAGAAGGTTGCAGTATTTTATATCTCTATTCTATTTACTAATCAACATGGAACTAGGAGGTAAGTAGGTCATCACAATAATTAATTTGTGTAATTAAAGATGTTCATATTTTAGGTTCACTTATAGTTTACTAATGGTTGGAAACTCACGTTGGAACGCAATCACATTACTGTGTAGAATCCTGACTGTCAGAAACTGCTTCTGACGCTGGTTGGAACGAACCTGAAGTAAGTCCTAATTTCGTTACCAAAAAGATACGAATTGGAACTAAGAAGTATTATGAATCAAAGATCGATGAAAATATAGGAAACAGTAGGGCCATGTGGAAAGCACTGAAAGGTTTAGTAGAGGGAATTAGAAAATAAGAGTCCAAAGGTATAAAATTTGATAGTGTTCTCATAACAAATGAAGCAAAAGTAGCAGGATATTTTAATTCGTTTTCGTTGAAAGTTCGAAAGACCTTACCGACAGTATAGTAACAATGAATGATTATAATCATGTTCTCAGTTATATTATACCAACAAATGAGATACTTGGGCAATTTGAAATATTGAATATGTGCGAATTAAAAAAGATAATTTTTTCCCACAAGAAAAATAATACAGATGATAATGGAATTAATCTGAATATAATTAACATTTGAAATACTGGGAAATCGGTTTTTGAACTTGATAAATTTATTGTTAACCACTGGAACATTTCCTGGTGGTTGAAAAATTGACATAGATTTTCAATTATTGCGGCAGTTGTATTGCCGACAGCATATGCAGGAATAACTTCTGTGAAGAATCCTGCACTGACACCTGTCGGATATAATCCAACGCCCTTCGTGGTATTAGCCAGGGGAGTAGTTGTTTTCTGATAGGTGTCAGTCCATTAACCTACTGTGTAAGGAGTTGAGACTGGCCTGAACGAATTGTTCTTAGATAATTTGATTTATAGCCAGTCTTCAAGTATGCCCACTGACTATATGTGAAAGTTTTCTTTCCTTATACGAGGAATTGGGCAAATTTCGGATATGCAGTTGGTTACCTCGTTCATAGGCAGATGGGGCGACGACAAACCTGTTATTTGTTGTATGCTTCAGCTTAGTTAGAGGAATGATACTCTGACGGATTTCGATTTTCAATTATCGGAAATCATCGTCTTTATGTTGATGATATACACTACCTTGCACTGACGAGTGGCCAAACAGCCCGAAACCGGTCTGCAAGTGTGTTCTAATAATTGAAAATCTATTGCGGCAGTTGTATTGCCAACAGCATATGCAGGAATAACTTCTGTGAAGAATCCTGCACTGACACCTGTCGGATATAATTCAACGCCCTTCGTGGTATTAGCCAGGGGAGTAGTTGTTTTCTGATAGGTGTCAGTCCATTAACCTACTGTGTAGGGAGTTGAGACTGGCCTGAACGAATTGTTCTTAGATAATTTGATTTATAGCCAGTCTTCAAGTATGCCCACTGACTATATGTGAAAATTCAAGATATGTGCTAATTTCATTCCAGAATGGAAAGAAAGGTTCAAAACTCAACCTTTTGGAACACACGTTAAAAGGTAAGACCTCGTTAGTCCTTAGCTCGCACAAGTTTCTCAACTTCTGAGAGTTGTCGTTCGTATGGGGGCGGCAGCTGATTAACGGAAAAACAGATTTTAAAACAGATTTAGAAATCAATACATGTAAAGGTGATGAATTCATCATATAGAAATTTGTCAGGTAGTAATGATTCAAATTATTATAAAAGCACGACACAGAATTTGTTCATACAGTATAATGACGTCTGAAGATGCTATTGTATAGCAAAATACTTGTCACAGTTTTCTAAACTTTCAATAGAAATCTCACATCAAAGTGTGTTTTATGAATACATTATAATGGATTTTCATCAAGTATCGGTCAGGTCTATTATATTCATTCCAGCAATGCACGTTTAATTGTAAGGACTACTTGTTAATCTGCATGCATTTGTATTTCATGAAGGGAGGATTAGACGCTACAAGAGGTTTCGTATAAAAGTATTCGATGTCATCGTTTCAAAAGGAAAGATTTGATTTTTGAATTAATATTTCAACTGGAAGTTGAACATCTTCAGTCAAATGACAATTATCAAAAACATACCTCAGATTGAATAAGAACATAGGCTTTCACGACCAGACTCACATTTGAATAGAACAAAATATGGGCTAATAGGCCTTAGTCGAAGTGATTATTTTCAAGGCCTCCTTGAAGGTTCTCACTTCATTTTTCTGAACAGTCACCTCAAAATCCACAATATTTTGAAAAAATGTAAAAAAAAATATTACAAGTGAACCAGTAATATTTACTAAGAAACTGAAATTTTGAAAATATTTCCAAAGATATGATAGATCTGACCAATTCTTGATGATTTTCATTATAACATATCAAAAAAACATACTTTGATGTCAGATTTCCACTTTGGAAACTTTCAAGTGGAAATCTCACATTGAAGTTTTATATTGACACATTTCCAAAGTTCTAGGGATTTTAAGATAATTCAGTTCATATATTTCACCTTATATAAACACGCTACTCGCATTTAGTCCTGCATGAAGACCACTGTACAGCAAAAATTGCAAGTGATTTTGTGAATCGATTTCTGAGAAAATTATTTGAAGGATTATCATCTAGTATTATCCAACTTGACTATCCATACATACTCATTATTCTCTTGAATAGATAATAGTTTCATACAGCTGATGTGTTCAAGGTCACCTGAGTCAACATCATCTAAATTAAAATGAAAAATACTCACTGTCAAATCATTCTGGATATCATTGTTGACGATACATGTAGAGTTCAAATCACCAACTTTCACATTATTGTTAATTTTAACACTTTTTACAATGTTTTTATCACTTGGCGAACTATTTTTAATCTTACCACTAACAGACATATTTTTAAAGTTCGTCTTTTCCACCGAAATGTTTTTGACATTATTTGAGATAACAGGAAAACTTCGAAAATTGTTAACATCTGGTGGCACAGAAGAATAACTTTTAGAATTACTGAAGTCTGTTGGTATAGAGGGAAAAGACTTTGTATTTTGAAAGTCAGGTGGGCTTGTGGGACAAGATTTGACTGAACTGTTATCTTCTGCAGGCATTGAAGGTGATATTTTTGAATCTTGAATTGCAGGAGGGCTTTTAAGATTGGGAGTATCTGGCGGTATGACCGAGCAATTTTTGCTGTCATCAACATCAGGCAGAAAGCTCCTATGAGTATCTGATTGTATGGTAGGAAAATTTTTCATGTTGTGTACATCAGGGGGTGTTTTCAAATTATTCACAAAGAGAGGTGGGACATTTTTAACATCATTTATCACCGAATTTAGGACTAGAAGTTTCTCAGCACACACTTTCTTCGTGGTCTGTTGTATCACTACTGGTTTTAATTCTGTTTCAAGTTTAGGAGATTTTTCCTTATTTGAAACTTTCTCTGGTTTTTCAGGAGTCACTTTTTTGTCCTTTAGTTTTTCACTATTCTTTGCAATATCTGCATACGATATTGGTACGTTCAACCCGTCAATAGGCAAAGAATGTACTGATTCTGCATCAGATGAATCGTTAGATTTTTCACTGTGTGGAGCCGAACAAGCAGACTTTCCTCGTAGATCAGGAGACGGGGCACGATTAGAATGTTTGGTGTTGGACTCAAAAGAAGAATTTTGCCTGCGACCACTACTAACACTGTTGCGCCTCTTCTTACTCTTCTTCTTTGGTTTTGTGACTACCCAGTTATCTGCTGTCTCTAGATTTTCAGTGGAGGCATTGCTTGACAGAACTTGAAAGGGTGGAGGCTGAAACAGTTGAAATATTTATTGTAATATGTTGCTTATGGGTTGGTTTGCTATTAAAAAATTATTCTCTTATAGAGTATTCACAAAAAGTTACTGAAGAAGTGTTGGTTCCAAATTGTTGTAAATTGAAAACTGTTACCAAATTATTAGATTTTCAGCACAATGAAATAAACTGGGGAAACAATGAATAACACATACACACACAGACACACCATGGATTCTCCAGAAGATGGCTGAGTCTCCTTCTTACCATTAACCTGAAAGATCACTCACCAAATGAAGTAATTGGGTTTGTTTAGAAGCTGAATTCATTCGGCGAGTTAAAAGTAAATCACCCAGTTTGGGATGTCAAAATTGTATAACTATTCAGCATGATTTCAACTACCGTCCAATCTGCTATGAGATTTCTTCAGAAATATATTGTAATGACATTTCAAACCTCAACGCAAAGTATGACACCCCATTTGCTAAAAAAGGCACTGATATGTATTCAGTACATACAAGTGAAAATATTTACAAACTGAAAATTTCATAAAAATTTTAATTTCTCTTTAGAACAAATATAACCAACTAAATACAAATTAATAGAGATTATTTTTCCCAAAATTTATAATGATTTATTTTCCCAAAAAACATAAATATTTATAGTAAAGGGAAAAACAACAATTTAAACTATATGAACATATAAACAAAAAAGAATCACAACTGAAAAAAAATTAATGTTATAAATTGCAGAGGCTGAACTCAGCATTAAGCATAAAGTATTAATCTGAAATNAACATTGTGAAATAAAGTGGGGAATTAATTTTTAAAATGAAATTTTATCAACCAGAAGTAACCTTATCAACAATGAACATTATCTCTCTTATTATTCCTAAACATTAATACATAAATACAAATGATCTATAGGAATTTATAACTCGTTGAATAACAAAATGGTGATAACAGTGGAACTTATCAAGTTCTCCATCGATTTCATGAATTCAGTGTTTCAATAAGGTATCTGGTTTTGATGAGAAAGTTGTGCCTGTTTATATTGTAACAATTCATTGACACATGGTTCTATTGCAAAGGTCCTAATTATCAAGTCATTTTCCAATTAGATCTGCTCATAGTCACGATTGGATAATGAGATTTTCATAACTGAACCATTATTGAATAGAGAATTGAAAGCTCTATTCATAGAAGAAGGTTACATTTTAAAGTCTCAGCAATGACCATTGCAGGCCTTGCCAAAATGTTTTGCTCTAGACCTTTTTAAAAAAAGTGGTCTCACCCAAAAATTTTTCAAAATTCTTGTGCAGAAGAGTGTCTTTAGCATTCTTGATGAAGTCATTTCACCTCAAACGGGCCAATGTAAAAAACCAAGAAAGGAAAAAATATGATTAATGACCATGGCCTAAACTTTTCCACTTTAATTTTTCAATCAATGAACCATTAAGAAAATTATAGTAATTTAGGTCTGACAGAAAATAAAAAAGTTCCTATGGGAAATTATTTTTTACTTCTTTTGTAACGAATAATCAATTATGAAATCAAAATATCAATATTATTGGTACATATTATTATCTGTTCCGTCTTTTCAAGTGGAAATCTCTGCCACCGTTAATCAGATGATGTTTTGCATTCTCTTGGTCACAACTATCTCGTTCGTAGGTTTTGTAATTAATCAATAATTCAACATATTGTACATTTTTATATTATTCATTCAACCAAAACTTTTGACTTATTTTTTAAAGCGAGTAAGGCCTTGCGGTGCGAGGCCTGGAGCGGCCGTTTCACCCTAAGGACGGCTCTGTCTTCAATAACTTCTCTCATCATTTTCAATTAAGATTTTGTAAAACGAAGGACTCAGTTATTTCAATATTCAGTATACCACAAATATTGACGGTATGGAAAAATGACCTCTTGCAATGTATACTGAAATTCGGATGCTCCCAAGACCAATGTCGCACATTTTGCAATGAAACTAAACAGTTTGTGTGAATATGGCCTCATCTTTGATGGAAATTTCTGTCATTTAAACTTTCACCTTGTAGCCAACNTATGGGATTGCCAGACTTTCACAAAGTTAGTTAAACTTTCAATGAGGAAGATATTGAGTTATCTTATTTTACATATTGTACTCTTTAGGCAAGATAATTTTCAATCCATGCCAGAATGTTTTCTTGAAAATTGTGATTTACTCGGTCAAATGCCTTTGAAAAAATCTATGTAAGTAGTATCAACCTGGTGTTATGTGGGTGAACTGAAGACTCTTTCGAGATATCATTCAATTTCATCCAATGATTCTCCATTTGGAACAATTTGTTATTATGTACCAAATGTATTGATACTAAAACAATAGCTGTTGCTTTTGACTTTGTTCACGTGGAATTCAGTTTTTGAGTTTCCTCAGATCTACTAACAGCAAAATGTATTTGATTTATAAAAATCAAATGTTTTACTCGATTCTTCAAAATGACATAACTTTTTTATTTATGAACTGCTTGAAATAAATGAAACACTATTCAAGGAAACTTACCAAGTATAATATAACAGTGAAAACCTCCATCAAATAGGTTAATTCATTTTTGAAATTAGAACACACAAACACATAGTGTTTGTGTTTTCAGTGTTTTCGGTTCTATTGCGTTGACCACCAATAACACTTTTTCTTAAATTATTCCTTGTGAAAACTTTTATCTTCATTTATATATTGATTTTAAAAATTTTATTGATACAAAACAAATAAAATTTTTGGCAGTAGAACCTCAGATCGAATATACTGGAAATTACTTTTTTCTACACCTAAACCCGATATTATGCTTTCTATCGCCAAACATTGGACCAGATAGCTTATCTGTGAAAATTATCATCTCCTGTTGACTAAAAAATGGTGAATACAACATGTGTCTGAACAGTTTAAAAATGAAATTAAAAAAACTAGATGAATTCTGCAACAACTAAGACGAATTTCTGGATGTGTAATTATGTTTTTTTCTGGTAACAAGCCAATGCAGGTATTTTCTGGGTAAGATATAAAATTTAAGTATCGTATTCATCAAAATTATGAAATTTTAATCATGTTTTGTTCAAATTGATGGAGTGAAAGATTCGAAAAATAAAAAAAATTGGACAAAAGTCAAAGTGATAGTAGAGAGTCCAAATTTCAAGCAAGGGTATAAAATTGGAAACAGCAATTTTTTCCATTGGTATTTTTGAAAGTTTCCAAAAAACCTATTTTTTGAGGATTTTCGAAAAAATATCAAATTTGGCAGGTTTAGAGTCGCACATGACAAAAGGAAAGAGGCTTTTTTTCAATCATTTTTCAAGCACAAACTAATTGCGAAGTTATTTTCATTATATCTATTAATAAAAAAACTTCCATATGTCGCGAACTTTATGTGTGACAATATATACAGGGTGTTTGGTAGCTGGGTGCAAACCTTTAAGAGGGTGATACACTAGCCCATGTAGAACATATTCATACTAACATTTTTATTTTCTAGCGCGTTGCCTAACGTCCGTGTGTTTTCCAACACATATCGTAGGCTGTCTAAATCTGGTATTAATCATGCTGAACCTGCAGTAAATACAGGAAGACATAATGTCAATGTTGAGGAGCAAATTCTCGCAGCCTTCGAAGCGGATCCTACCACCAGCATCAGAGTTGTAGCGAGAGATTTAAACCTTTCGATATGGAAAGTGTGGAGTATGATGCACAACGAAAAGAAATATCCGTTTCACGGCACGGGTGTGCAAGGCTTGGAGGAAACGGATCCGGCGAGACAGATACGGTTCTGCCGTTTTTTGCTAAACGCAGATATTGACGACGCGTGGTTCTTAAAGTCCATCTTCTGGACTGACGAATCGAAGTTCTCCAGGGAAGGAATTACTAATTTCCACAACCTTCATGGGGACACATAAGACTACTAAAATAAATTTAAAAAACCGGACATTTCTGTTAAAATTCGAAGTTATTAGCATTTAATTGACCAATTTTGGGTTTTTGTACTAAAAATCGTAAAAGTTCCCTTAAAAATCAAAAACGCGCTAGAAAATAAAAATGTTTGTATGTATATGTTCTACATGGGCTAGTGTATCATCCCCTTAAAGGTTTGCACCCAGCTACCAAACACCCTGTATATTGAATTATCAGCCAGTTCCATCACACAATAAATACTTACTTCCACATTTCCCCAAGACCGCCTTTCTTTGGGCCTGTCACTCTGACCCTTGTTTCTCAGCACCACCTTCCCGTCGCCGTCCTTCTCTGCACCGTTGGTAGCGGCAAAAGCAAATTCATCTAATTTGGCCATAGGAATTTCGCCTAGTGAGTTACTTTTCTTCAACTCTGACCTATTCTCTTTACCTTTGGAAGAGTGGGCTCTCTGTTTTTTACTTCTCGGACCATCTTCAGTGGTATGTTGTTTGTGTAATTGCTTAGATTTGTGTACATGGGTTTTTGCCTTACTCGTTGAAGATATATTAGACTCATTATCCCCTCGAATATATTGGATAAGTTTGTCAACGTCATTGATGATGTCGCTTCGATGACCCTCAACCTGTTGGAATAGAATGATTTATTTTGAGAATTGCAATACAGCCTCTTTGAGGTTTGTAGGCACTTGAATATTCAAAAACACATGGTACTTTGAAAAATTTGTTTTTATTATTATAAATACTTACACTCTCTGCTTTAAGGACCACCACATTCTTATCTGTCTGTATTTTCTTTTTCTTGGTTTTTGTTCCAGGATTTTGATGGAGAGCATTTCCATTTTCATCAACTTTCTGTAAACGAAACAAATTATCTTGTAGACTAAAACATATTAATTGTACCATTTGTAAAAATTAAAAATAAAGACAAAAAAATTATTTGTGTTTACATAAGCATATATGCAATGAATAATGTCCAGTTCTATGATCACAATAAAAATATGTTGGATAAAAACAACCCACTTATAAACACTGAATTTTATCATAAAAAAACAACATTTAAACATTATATTGTATTGAAAGTAAGAAGTCGCACAGCTCCGTTTGTAGCCGTAAAGATGTTGAGAGGTAGGGATATGGTGAAGCTATTTGTGTTAATCCCTAGCTCATACAAGCTTCGACTTCTAAGGGCTGTCATTCATAAGAGGGCTGGTTAATGAAAAAATAGATTTCAAATAGATTTCTTTGACTGATTCCACTGCTTCAAGAGTTATAACCTCAGTATTTGATATGAAGGTGGAAAAGAATACAGTTTTTTTAAAACTCCTGGATGTTGCACGACGTAGAAAAAACCTTCCCAGTATAGATGGTTGGAATGGTAATACATTCACGTATTTGGCGTTTCATGTATTCAAATAATGGAGTATCTATGAATTTTCAAGAATTACCGGTGGTACATAAAAATATATTCAGCTTTCAGTATCAATGTTTTTTGAGTTTAAAAGCCGTGAATTTTTGGAATTTCAAAAATCCACGGCTTTCAAACTCGAAAAACAGTGACACTGAAAACCTCAGTGTCTAAACCATTTTATTTAGCTTCCATTTGTATGATTACCAGGGCCGCAATGAAATAACATATTTAATAATATTTAATAAATATTTAATTAGGTTTATTGAATAAAGCCGAAAGCAAGGTAAATCATTTAAACGAATAATGGCCAGTCATGTTTTGCGAGGAGAATACTGTACTTTTTCTATGACTTAATGAATGAGATTCTTTTGAATGATATTCTTAATCAGAGTAATACCATTAGATTTCATTACAAGAAGTTGACTAGAAATTGCCGGAGTTGTGACTTGACCTGAAATTGAAATCAAGACCATTGGCCACTCAGAAAAACTGGCTATAAGTTAGTGTGACATACAGCTTTTTGAGTTTCTAATATTTTCATTTTGTTATTAAGTGATGTTTTCACTTTCCGAGTCCATAGTATTCTTGTTGTTCATTAGAAACTATATATTTTGAAATGACAACCGTAAAGTTATGAATTTTCTTATTAGTGATAGGTCACCAGGTATTGAGTTATGAATCCGGTCAATTAGGATTAGTTCGAAGGAGAGAGTTAAAGCTACCCACTCAACAACAAACTTTTCACATAAAGCACATTTGAATATAGCCAAAATATATTTTTGGGTTTTGGCGACATTGAAGAGCCCTGTATATTTGTATGTTCAAAAGAACTTACCTTTCCTCATAAAAAACATGATTTGACATCAAATCCTTTCGAGAAACCAACTAGTCATTACTAATGACATATTTGACAGTTGTGTGGAACAATGAAGTACTGTAAATTTTCACTATTATTATTTTATGATAAATGCTGGTGATTCAACAAGATCACTTTAGTGTCAAATTTCATTATTACTGCTTTGTCCATACAACTATATATGATTCTTCATGACAAAACTTGGTTATGTATAAAAGAAAATACATTTTATCGAATGCCAACACTTTGAAACTGAGATGCAATGCTATAAAATTGTTTGTAAGATTCGACACGGTACTTACCTCTGTATTATTCTGATCTACCAAGACTTGGTGCTGAACTACAGGTAATGGGTAAGGTTTGATAATCCAAAACGGACAACCACCTTTGTGATCTTTTTCGATAATCATTGAAAAAAGTGCAAATAGTACTACTCAAAACTTTACTACTCAAAACTTATCTTGTTATCATTGAACGACACTGATTTAAATCAATTTAAAACGTTGAAATATATTAAATAATTTAGACGCTATTGATAAAAATACCTTGAATTGGAAAACTCCTCAATACATATGGTTTTTCATTTCGGTACGTTATGAATAAAGACAGTGGTATGTTGACCTTTTTACTCTGACATTGAGAATTACATAAATGTTTATCATCAATAGTAATTACTTGACGTCCATAATGATAGGTGATGAAATTTTCCCGTCACAATTGGAAACACTATCATTAGTAGTGGTCTGAAGGTATGAGGTGAAAGTCAGAAATTTTAATTTTATGTGGAAAAAGTGAAGTGGAAAAGTGACTATAATCAAACATTGTGAAATAAAGTGGGGAATTAATTTTTAAAATGAAATTTTATCAACCAGAAGTAACCTTATCAACAATGAACATTATCTCTCTTATTATTCCTAAACATTAATACATAAATACAAATGATCTATAGGAATTTATAACTCGTTGAATAACAAAATGGTGATAACAGTGGAACTTATCAAGTTCTCCATCGATTTCATGAATTCAGTGTTTCAATAAGGTATCTGGTTTTGATGAGAAAGTTGTGCCTGTTTATATTGTAACAATTCATTGACACATGGTTCTATTGCAAAGGTCCTAATTATCAAGTCATTTTCCAATTAGAATGTATGTTCATTATTGGAGAAAATGTTAATTGGTATAATTAAGAAAGTGTCTTGTCAACTCTGGATGGGAATGAAACTCCATTTTAAGCATATCATCAGACGCAAGATTAATAAAATGTTCTTTCTCATTTGCAATTAGGTAAGCCAGTTTTATTGACATATCCAAGGAATTTATTACTCATCTATGTCTATGGTCCATTGACAGCTTCAGAATCCAGTTCCGAAGTTTCCTTTCAAATTATGCAAACTTTGTATTACAGATAGATTATGAGAATTTACTAGATTATGATTGGATCTTTGCAGTTTCTTCAGAAATATTTTGAACACAAAAAGACTCATAAAATTATTTTGTTAAGATGTTGATCATCAACAAGGTTCCCAAGGAATCTTTTGATTATTATCATTTGTGGGTAAAATGTTATATTATGCTATTAAAAAATTCAAGTGGCTGAAAATATTAGCAAAAATGATAAATCTTAAGAACTGAACAGGGTCACAAAAATAATCCGCATTTCCAGGCTTAGTATCTTGCAACTTTAGAACTCTTGAGACAACATCAGATTTGTTCCTATGTTTATTATATTATGAATGCACTGATCCGTTTACTTGATGAAAATTATTAACACTATCCATGATAATAATTAAACAATTTTCAAAAACATTTTTATTTCTAGACATGTTTCGCTAACACCATAGCTTCCTCGGTAGGAAGCTACACATCTAGAAATAAAAATGTTTGTGAAAATTATTCAATTATTATCATTCATTATGTCTTTAGCCGATACAGCTGCAGTCACTTTTGTAGCTTTTTAGTAGAATAACTCCATTTGACCTCTGAATAATAGAGCAGGTTTTGATAACGCTACTACAGCTACGTATTCAAAAAACACTTTATTGTGAGATTTTCACTAAACAGTTTTACAAAAACGCAACACGGGCGTGTCTTCACTGTAAAGAAAGACACGCCCAAAGAAGCCATTGTATGGCGAAATATGTGGTGTGTTTTTGTAAAACTGTTTAGTGAAAATCTTACGATAAAGTGTTTTTTGAATACGTTGGTTTTTCATCAAGTATCGGCCGATTCCATCATATATACTACAGCTAGAATAATTTGTTCATGAGGCATTTGGCATCATTGATTTTGATTGATTGATGAAGAAAATCAAAAACATTCAATGAATTGAAGAGTATGGGATTGCCAGACTTTCTCCACTTGTAAAAGGGTAACGTTTTCAAGGAGGTTAAAAAACCTGCCTAAACTGGTTGACTTGAAGTTAATAATCATAAACAATTTTTTTAAAGTATATAGCAAATTAAATTAATTTAATAATCAAAAGATAGGGTTGCTAGGAAGACAGACACATGTGAAAATCACTCTGTTCATCTCTCACATTCCTATTCTATATGTACCCAAATATGGTATTAAATCGCCTATATCAATGTAGTACCTGTGTACTGCTTCCATTTACACTTGATATCTCAAGAAAATCATCATTACACTTAATAGTCTTTGACAAAAACCCCAAAGTTGGATTCAATAATTTTTTCAATAAAAAATTAGGTGATATCGCCTAGGCAGTTCGTTTTCAGAGAAAAGCTATCAATGAATGATGCCTATTTGAAATTATGAAAAATTATAAATTGATAGATGATAGTCAGTTTGCTTATTCCTGAATCTCGCAAAGGTATTTGAGACTGAGTCACTCACAAACTGAATGCTTGCAGGATGAAGGAATTTGGAGTACTGCACACAAATTTATATCAAATAATTTGGTATGCCACAAAGCACGATCTTTGGGCTACTCTTATTTACTTTATACAGAATTCTGAGAAAATACCGGCAACATAGAAGGAAGATGAGTAAGAAGTGCTCCTTCCACACATAACTTTATGATACTGAAGATAAAGAAGAAAAAAAAAAAGATCAAACAAATCATTCTTTCGAAAAGATCTTAAACACTGTGAAAACACACCTTTATACAAATAAGCCATAGATATGAGACAAGACACAAAATGAAAATGACAAACACGGGAGGTACAAAAAACAAGAGCACAAAAATGTTACATTTTTTAAAGACCAACATTGTGCACAGAAATTCCAAAAGATAACTCTCTTTTTATAGGGACTTTTCATAAAAAACTCAAGTGCTGG